CCCGCCCGCGCCATGGGCTTGATGCCGGCCGCGCGGGACTCCTCCCGGGCCCGCGCCTGCCCGCGGCCGCCCTGCCGCCTACCGGCCTGCTGCGCACCCGCCGCCCCAGGTAAGGCCTGGGGGGCGAGGGCCGGGACTCGGGGGTGTCCCGGCGGAGGTCAAGGAGGGCAGGTCCCCTCCAGTCTCCGCCAGGGCCGGCGGATTGCAAGAGGTGCAGACTCGGGAGGGGTCCGTTCCCATCCCCCACTGCCGAGGGCTGCGCAGAGTGGAGCTGGGACTTTGACCCTGAGGCTGGTGTCAGTCCTTGGCCTCAGAAAGCCACAATCCAGGGGAGAAGACCCCTTCTGATCCCTTCTGCCTGGGGCCTAGCCACCCATATCCTCCACCCAATCCCTTCTGTTTCTGCAGGGTGGAATCTGTGCTCGAAGCCCAAGGTGCAGGCTGTGCGGTATCTAGGCAGGCACGGCCTGTGGAGTGACAGGGGCAGCTGTGGGACAGTCCCTCCACGCATGGATGGACAAAGCGGGGGGCAGGGGGAGTGTGGATGCCAGGCGTCCTGACCCAGGGCAGGGAGGACAGGGGTCAGAAGGGAAACCAGAATTATCCAGCCTTGTGGCTCTCTGGAGAGTGTGGGTGCCTGCAGCCTCCCTGCCACCGTGCTGAGAGCTCAGACAGGCTATGGCCCAGCCCAGCCCATGCAGCCCCAGATTCACTCCAAAGGGAGTCCCAGTTCCTCCCTTTCCTTCTGGCTCTGGGCCACCTCCCGACACGACCCTGGAGGGTTGCTGTGTGGAGCTGGTGTACAGCCTTGTATAGTGGCAAAGACTGAGGCTTAGGTCACCTGTGATGCAGGTGACGACCAGGCCTGTAGCTCCCACAGCCTGCTCCACCTTCACAGGAGGGAAGTCAACAGGGTGTGGCTGTTGGGCAGAGGCTCTGAGCCCACGTGTATGCTCATCTCCAGAGGGACAGCCCTACCAGTTGTCTTGAGGTGCTTTGTGTAGTGCAGGATGGGTCCTGGAGGAGCTACAGCTTTGTGGCATTGCCAGCGACCTCACCCAGCAGAACTGCTGGCCCAAGTGTTAGCAGGAGGGCTGGGGGAGTTCCATTGCAAGGGTTTCTCCCTGCCACTCAAGCAGCTGAAGTTCTGGTCTTGTGGCAGTGCCAACCCTGTGCCATAGGCTTAGGGCAGGAAGGCGGCACATGCCCACCAAGTCCCATGGGTAGCAGCTTTCCTTCCTGGCCAGTGCTGGCACCTCTGCTACCTGTACAGTTGGCCCAGCTGACCCCAGTCCTTGGGACTTGCTCTGAAGAAGGATGAAGACACATGGGCTCTCTTAGGGGCCTGCACATAAGTATGCACAGCAATTTGACCTGGGACATTCTCTGTATATGCAGACAGAGCACCTGGGCCAAACCTTGACCCTGCATGGTGGCTGTGGGCACTGTCTCCCACCCTGCGGCCTCAGTTTGCTCCCCTGAACAGCCAAGGTAGTATTGGTGATGCTCATAGATCCAGAGTCACCGTGCCACATGGGATTTGATGGGGATATGTGTGTGCAGTACTTAGGACAGTGCTGTGTGCTGGTGACCTCAGTATGCCTCCTCATACATATGTGCACATGCAAGCCCCATGCACACTTTGAACACACATATGCACATATGTGAACACAGCCCAAGTGCTGTGTTTCTGCACACAGCCCTAGAGCAAAGCACCTCATGTGTGTGTGTACCACGTGTGCAAAAGCCCTGATGGCAGCTGCTAGTGTTCACCCTGAAGACGTGGAATGTCTTAGAAAAGGAGCTTCCCTCTCACAATTCTGTGGTCTTTGTCTTTGAGTCCAGCAGTGGGAAGAGCCTGATGAGTTCTGCTGTGTTCTGGGCACCTCATTAGACACTGATCTTTCAGGGGGTGCTGGGGATGGAACCCAGGGCCTTGCACATGCTCGGCAGGTGTCTACCTCTGAGCCACACTCCAGGACTAGGATTGATGTGTCGTAACTCACAACAGCCCCTATGGAGGAGTGCAGTAGCTGCTAGAGGAGATGCAGCTCCTCACTGGCTGGCTCACAAACTACATCCTCAGAAGCCACACAGACAGTGTCAAGCTTGGGCACTGTGCCGTTGGCACACCCCAAAGCACCCTGCAGAAAGGTCTCTGCATTATGGATCTGAGCCACACCTCCCATTCCAGAGACACAGGGCTCAGGACTGGGGATTCCCTTTGTCCTGCTGTAAGGCAGGCCCTGGAGTACACAGCCTTGCCAGTCTCAGCTCCTTCCCCTTGGCCTGGGCCTTGAGGAGTCTTTGGAGCCAGTCACATGCTTAGTATGTGCTTTCTCAGCCAGCCTTCCTCAGCCATCTTCCTCTCCCCCTGTCTTCATGTTCATTTGCTGCTGTGTCTGTGTTAGACTTCTTGGAGCTTTTCTTCAAAAAGTAAAGCTGATGTGATTTTGGTCTGGAAATGGCATTACCAGCACCCCAGAAGCCCTCAGGTGCCCTCTGGTCTCTAACCCCCACCCTCAGCCATGTCCTGGCCTAATGCCACCAATCAGTTTTGTTATTTTAACCTCACATAAATAAGTACTGCACACGTATACACTACCATGCTAGGAACCCCTTTGCAAGAGAACATTTCGGTGGTGTTCCGTGCATCAACAACCATCAGCACCATCCAACTTTAGAATTTTTGGGGGAGGGTGGTACTAGGCATCGAACACAGGGGTTATGACTGAGCTACATACCTATCCCTTTTAAATGTAAGTTTTATTTTTTGAGACAGGGTCTCACTGAGTTGCCTCAATGGGGCTCGAACTTGGGATACTCTTGCCTATACTTCAGTGAATGCTGGGTTTCTAGGCATACACTATGCCTAGTTATCCATCTCCAGGATGATTTCATTTTACACAACTGAAACTTGGCCCCACTAACCCCTACCTCCCTATTTGTCATGTCCAGTGTCTCTGATTTTCACCAGTCTAGTGGGATCATGTCAGGCTGTCTCTGTGTAACGTCCTCAGGTCCTCAGGTTTTGCTGGCATCATGCTTAGAACCTCTTGACTTTAAGCCTGTGTCCTGTTTGCAGACCTGACATTACCCCCATCTGCCATGATGGGTGCATGGTCGCTGTTGTGAGCAGTGCAGCTGCACACAAAGGGTGCAGGGACCTCTGGGGACCCTGCTTTCAGTTCTTATCCCCAAAGCGGCACAGCTGGAGTATCCAGCACAGTAACCCTATTCTTAGTTGTTTTGAGGCCCCGCCATGCTGGACTCCCTAGATGCTGTGCTATTTTATTTTTTTCTGTGCTTTTGGCAAGGGCAGTTGGCTCTGACTGGGTCCCTAGGGACCAGGGATGATGACAGTGGTTTCTGCATTTGTGCACTGTCTGTGTTGCCCACAAGCTACACACTGTTCAGAGGTTGCAGGCCTGGTTGTGGTTGGGGTTGTCAGTGCTTCTGTGTGGGTGATGCGTACTTGTCACTGAGTCCCATGTGTAAGATGGGTACACCCTGGGCTGTTTGCTTCTGGGTTGGATGGGATCTGCAGACCACTGCACCTGTCTGCTCTCTGCCTCTAGTACGTGTTCCTAAGTGTCTAATGCATTTCCCCCAGAAGAACCTTCTCTGGCTCTGGCAACCATTTGTTGTCCCTGTTGCTGCCTCCGGCCACTGACTAGGTGGTGGAAGGTGTGACCCACCCCTTTCTGTGCCAGGGATCTTTGGGCAGCGGCTGGAGGACACAGTCTACCATGAGCGAAAGTATGGCCCCCGGCTGGCCCCGATGCTGGTGGAGCAATGTGTGGACTTCATCCGGGAGCGAGGGCTCACCGAGGAGGGGCTTTTCCGCCTGCCTGGCCAGGCCGACCTGGTGCGGGGACTGCAGGACTCCTTTGACTGTGGTGAGAAGCCACTGTTCGACAGGTGAGCGCTGGGGCTAGGTGAGTGGTGCCCAGGAAGCCCACTGAGTAGAGGCCAGCTGTTTGCCCATATGGGTACAAGTAGGCATGACAACCCTCCCAGGGCACAGAGCCATGTGTCCCCTCACGGATGATGCCAGCCACATTGAGGCCCAGTATAGGCAGGAGAGAAGAGGGCATCTGCTGCCCATCAGGCTAGCTGAGTTCAGGCATGCTGCATCCAAGACCCAGGCATGCTGAAGTCTTTGACCCTGCCTCTTCTGGGCAATCAGAGGCTTCCTAAGTGGCAAGATGGTGCAGCCACTTGCTCCCCTCTCTACCCTGACCCATCCCTGGGGCTTACCCACACCCAGACACTACCCCCTCATTGAAGGCCATTGCATTTGCAGCCCAAGGAAGAGGCTGGAGGAGCCTTAGCTATTTGGGGGTCTTTTCCCTGGAGGCTCGGGAAGCTCCACCCCAACCCTGGCTCTCAGGGAGCTAAGGTGCACTCTGAACGGCTGCCAACCCAGTTTCTGTCCTGTGCCTGTGGGCCTGCTGCAGGGTGGCTCCAGACAAACATGCCCAGGTAGGCCTGTTTCAGAAGTTCCCCAGGATGGGTCCCTCAGTATAGTGTTCTTCATGACCAGAAGGACAGAGCCCCACCCCCTGGGTGCAGGCTTGCTATGTGCAGCAGCCTGTCCACCTGCCGGGGAGAATGTCCGCAGCCATCAGCCACCGTGGAGCTGCTCCATGCTCCTCCTGCACTGGAAGCCCACCAGACTGGAAGCTCCCAGGAACCAATCTGTCTCACAGCTGTTTCTGTGGAGCCCCTGCCCCTGCTCATGTTGCTCTGGTGCTGCAGAGGGTTCCTTGGGTGTAAGACCCTAGTGAGTCCTCAGCACTTGAGGATGAGGAGAAAGCTACAGATGGGGAACCCTGGCTGCCAGCTGATCTGCCTCCTGTGGGGATGTCGACAGTGAGGGCAGCTGGTGCACCTGGGACAGGCCTGCCAATCACTGTGCCCGCTATGCCCTGACCTGGCCCTGTAGGCAGCACCTGGTTGACAGGTGCCCCTTTGTGCTTGGGGTGAGGTCAGGAAAAGGCCTTGGGTCAGCTGTTGGAGGGAAGAACCCTGCAAATGTGGGGAAGGAGGAGGTCAGCCTGTGATGGGGCTGACCAGCAGGGCTGGGGAGGGAAGGAGCACTGCAGAATGGGGGATGGCCAATGTGCCCAAGACAAGCGTGGCTTGGGGGACCTCTCTACCACTTGCTTTTTGTGGCACATGCCTTCTGCGGGGCACCCGGTGGCCATCCAGCCTCTGTTCCCCCACCATCCTTCTATAGTGGCTGTCACTGCCATTGAATCCATTGGGGCCTTAGAGGACAGGGCACCCTAGGCTCCATCTGGCACCCCAGATGTGGCTAGCTGAGGTGGCCCAGGTGGGAAGACAACAGCACACCTGGGTGGAATGGGGAGGTTGGGGCAGGGCAGGAAGGGACCCTGCATGTATGGCTTTGAGGTGTATTTTGGTATACGGGGTACTGAATCCCAGATGTCAGGGCCAAAGGGACCCAGAGCTTATCTCAGTGATTCTGACAAGGGACATGGCCCAGGCTGGTGGTACTTTAGTGGCCATAGCCCTTGGCTCCAGCCTGTCTTTCCTGAGGGTCTTCTCAAGGAAGAGGCAGGTGTGGGTTTAAAAAAGGTGCTGGGGGAGCAAATGAACTGGTGAACTGAGGCTCTGCTTGGAGGAGAGGCTGGCTATGGACCAGAGACCACCACAGAGCCCAACAGAACCCCAGGAGCAAATGACCCCAAGCCTGGGACCACTCTAGCCTGGCAGTTCCAGGCCACATGCAGGGGACAGAGACCAGGCAGTGGGTTCACAGGGCTCTCAAGACAGAGTGACAAGCTCAGATGCTGGAGTATGAATAGCAAGCTAGAGACCAGAGCCCTACCTGTGACTTCACTGCAGGGCCAACAGCCAGTCCAAGAGCTGAGCAAGCTCAGGCCAGAGCAGGCAGTACCTGGCAAGGGATGCAGGAGAACTGTCCCCACCCAAGGGAGCAGGCACTTTTGTGCTGCCCTGCAGGGGTTCCTGGGGATGGCCAGCAGGAGGCTAACTGCAGACTTGAGGCCAGAGGCCACTGTGAGCTGTGGCATGAGTATCAGTCACTGCCACGGCTCCTGGCATCCCAGGCCTCACACCTACCTCCTCCCCTCCCACAGCACAACAGATGTGCACACTGTGGCTTCCCTGCTGAAGCTGTACTTGCGGGAGCTGCCTGAGCCTGTGATCCCCTTCGCTAGGTACGAGGACTTCCTCAGCTGCGCCCAGCTGCTCACCAAGGATGAAGGGGAGGTCAGTGTCCAGGGACCCATCCGGGGAGGTGGAGTCAGGATGCAAGCTCCTTAGCTTTCAGAACCTTATGCATACTGACTGGAAGCCTGGTGTTTGTGGGAAGAGAGTGTTCCAGAGCATCCTTCCTGTATGTGTGCATGTGCATGCATGGGTGCGCATGTGTGTGCACATACATGTGTGTATGTTTGGGGGCCCAAGTTGGTATAAACTGCTCTGTCTTTGGCAGGTGCAGACATCCTTTTCTGTTTTGATGAAGGTTACCAGAGCATCCTTCCCTCTGGGCGCCCTCCACCCTACCCTGTGTCTTTAGCTCAGAGTCCGAAAGGGCTAGGAGCCCCTTAAATGCCACATTGGTCCAGGGTGCCCAGCTGGGGCTATTGCGGATGCTCTTCTCTTGCCATCTTCTCCCATGCTTGACTTAGTTCAGCCAGGCCTGGGGCTCAGAAATAAGGACACCGTCCACCTATTTCTGACCTGCCCCTCTGGAAAGAATTTGAGGGCATTCAGGACAGGGGGACAGATGCAGTCCACCACCCTGGGCACTGGGCACAGGAGGCGCTTTGCCCTCCTGTGGCCTGTGGGAGATGAGGGCTGTTACCTGCGCAATACCTGTGCCTTGCTAGCAAGCTGAGACATTCCTGCATGTCTCCGCAGAGGCTTGCCCTGCACCTGTCCCAGAAGGGAAGTCAGCCTCTTCCAGAGGTCACAGCATGGCTGCCACTCCCTACAGGGGACAGATGTGGTCAGGGTCCTGGCTGCAACCTATCCCCATGTCCCAGTGACTGCAGGGCTCCGTGACTGGTGTGTGAGGCTATTTTCTCCTTTCCCAAGGGGACCCTGGAGCTGGCCAAGCACGTGCGCAACCTTCCTCAGGCCAATTACAACCTGCTCAAATATATATGCAAGTAAGCGGTCCGGGTTGGGGGATGGGGGGCATGGGGGGGTCCTTCCTGTGCTGGCTCAGTGTTCCTTCTCCTTTAGCCTGGTGTTGGTGCAGTGGAGAGTGCAGGAGGTCACGGCCCCAAGCTCCTGGCTTGCGTGCCTCCTGCCTTCTGCAGTGATCACAGCCCTTCGGTGTCTTCCAGTGCATTGGCAGGGCTAATGCCCCTGGCTGTCTGCTTTTCAGGGACTGTGCCCTGCTGCAGGCTGCAAAGTCCTGCATCCTTCTCCCCCCAAGCCAAGGAGCATGGGCCCCTGAGCCCTGGCCTTCCTTTCTCATGGCCCTCTGGATGGCCGTGATTGAGCTGGGCAGGGGTAGCTGGCTGGACACCTGAGGGCGTGGCTAGGTGGCACAAGGCGAGGCCAGGGAGGGCATGGGCGGGCCTGAGGAGGGGCTGGAGTGGGTTGGGGCCCTGGGGGCTCCTGGCAGACTGAATCAGTCTCCATGTTTTTTTTCCTTCCTGGTCAGGTTTCTGGATGAAGTGCAGTCTCACTCAGATGTCAACAAGATGAGTGTGCAGAACCTGGCGACTGTGTTTGGCCCTAACATCCTGCGGCCACAGATGGAGGACCCAGTGACCATCATGGAAGGTGCCCAGGAGGGAGGCGAGCTGGGCCTTGGGGCTCATCTTGGTCCTCAGGCCGGGAACAAGGGTCTCAGGTCCCCACCTTCCCAGTGCTCTAGGGGAGAGCTGTGAAAGGAAACTGAGGCTGATACTGGTCCCAGGTTGCTGGAGCAGACAGTAGTTCCTGGTCCCTGTGGAGGGTCAGGACTGGGCAGAACGAGAAGGCACGACTCTTGGCTTTGCACACACGCAGGTTTTGCTATCCTTGCATAACTAAGTAATTAGCCAAGCTTCTTAAATGTCACAGCTTGCAAACCCTGTTGCTTTTCTATGATGAATAACATTTTTACAAAGCAACGTAGTGAAGCTGAGGCAGGAAGACTGCTTGATCCCAGGCACTGGAGGTTAGCCTAGACAATGTAACAAGATAGGGTCTTCAAAAAGAAAACAAGTATAGCAGTGGCAGTTCCTTTAATATTAGTGCTTTTTATTTTTTACACTTCATTAGTACTCGTCTGCAGCACATGAGCATATTCACTGTGGGAAAGTGGTACACATACACAATGCGTTTAGTTCTTTTGCTTCCCGTCCCCCTCCCTTTCTTCTTCCTCCTTTCACCTCTTGGTCGCTTTCCTATTACAAAAGATCTTGCTTTCTGTCATCTTTCAATTTGCTTTTTAAATTATTTATTCTCTGGGTTTCTTATATAAGGTAAGTCATGTGATATTTAAGCTCCCTTGCCTGATTTATTTCACTTAGAATTATGATCTCGAGGTGCACCCATTGTCCTGCAGACGACATGTCTGTCCTTCCTCATGACAGAGCAGTGCTCTGTGCTGCATAAATGCCACGTTTCCCTGTCGATGGACATACAGGCTCCTTCCAGGACTTAGCTATTATGAGCTGTGCTGCTGTGAACACGGGTGCGCATATCTCTCAGCAATATGACACCTTTCGCTCTTTCAGGAAGATATCTGGAAGGGGAATGGCTGGGTCAAATGCGATCTCCAGTTTTAGGTGTTTTTGGTCAGTAATTAGATCTTTATTTCATGTTATTTTTAAAAGAATAAAAAATAGTGAAAGAAATTAGAAATGATATACAATTTCACTAAACAAAATGATAATGATTCAACAATAGTTATATTGCATATTGCTGTCTTCAAATTAGTTATTCAGATTACCAAATACAAATATACAACATTGGTTAAAAGATTAAAAAAAAAAACCACTAAGTATTAATTGTTGATTTCAATAGACCAGTAGAAATCAGCAGTACAGTTATCCAACCTATCTCACATTTTTGGCAGAACCAAGGATTGAACTCAGACCCTTGCGCTTGCCAAGGAAGCACTTATTCTACTGAGCCATCTCCCCGGCCATCTCACATTTTTAAGGAAGTCCTGCACTGCCTTTCATGGGGGTTGTACTAGGTGACATTCTAATCCGCAATGGAGGAGCCCCCAGGCCCTGCAACCTCACTGGCATTTGTTCTGATTTCTTGATGAGGGCCATTCTTCCTGGAGTGAAATGGAATCTCAGCACTGTTTTATTTGCATTTCTCTAACGGCAAAAGATGTGAAACACTTTTGCTGAACATTGGCACTTCTGAGAAGTGTTTTTTAATTGCTCATTTTTTGATTGAATCTTATTTGGGGGCGTCTAACTTCTTGAGTTCTTGATATATTCTAGATGTTACTCCTCTGTCTAAGGGGTAGCTGGAAAATTTTTTGCCCCATTTTATAGGTTGTCTCTTTGCTCTTTTGCTCCTTTGCTGTGCAGAGCTTTTTAATTTGATATTGTTCCATTTACTATTGATGTTACTTCTTTCACAGTTGTTCAGAAAGTCCTTGCCTACTCTTCTGTCCTCGAGAGTTCTACCTGTCTTATCTTCCAGTGGTTTTAGTGTTTCTGTCTTAACATTCTGATCTTTGATTTATTTTAATTTAGTGCATGGTAAGAGGTATGGTCTAGGGTCTGTCTTCTGCATGGGTGGTGTTTAAATTGTACCCATTTCAGTCCTCATCACCAGCCTGTGCTATGATGACCTGCCCAATTCCAAGGTGGACACCCAGTCACAGCTGTGCCCCCTCTTGCTGTCTGGCAGAGAAATCCTTGCAAAATTCCTGGATTCTTGGCTACTTTCTCTGCTAGTGTCCACCGAGTGCTCAGCCTTCCTGACCTCTTGACAAATCTCCCATCTTTGGTCTTCGTTGGTGAGGCTGCTGGACAGATACCAAGGCCCATTGAGCACACATGCCTTCACTGCTTCCCTGGCAAAGCCACACGAGTCGAGGCCCTGGATTGTGGTGGGGGGCTGCATCTCAGGGCAAAAGAGGGGCCATATGTGCTCAGGAATTGAGTAGTATGCACTTGGTATGTGTGTGTATGTTTGGGTATGTGTGCTCATACATATAAGACAACCTTGGGCCATCAGAGAGTACATCTATACAAGTACCCACTCTGTGTCCAGGCTGTAGCAAAGATGGCCATTTCTGGCCACTCACAGCAAAGCCTTTCTTCTCTCTCCTGCAGGCACCTCCCTGGTCCAGCACCTGATGACCGTCCTCATCCACAAACATAGCGAGCTCTTCACGATGACCACCCTGGAAGGGCCCCCCAGGTCACCGCATGGAGGGCCATCATGCACTGTGGGCTGGGGCTCTGAGGAGGTCAACAAGGACAGCCAGGGGGACCCTGGTGACCCCACCCTGCCCACGCACAGGGCCTCGTCCCTGGATGGGCCAGCTGCCGCTGTGCTCTCTAGGACCTCTCCCCCAGCTCAGGGCAGCCCCAGAAAGAGGCTGCAGACTCTGCCAGGCTGGAAATCATCCTTCCACCAGCGGGGACCTGTGTCTGCGAGCCCACAGGGGGGCAGTGTGTCCCTGGAGGTGCCTGTGGCCTCCAGAAGCAGCAGCCGAGGGAACTGGCTCATGAATGGGCTGTCATCTCTGCGCAGCCACCATCGAGCCTCATCAGAGGACTGGCTCAAGGACGCTGGCTCCACACAAAGACTGTCCACCTATGACAACGTGCCCCCACCCAGCCTCTTCCCCAGCACGGCCAGTGTGGCTAGCACAGCATGGTCCCCAGCCTCGTCACCCCGTGATGCCTCTGTCAGCAGCTGCACAGCCTGCAGGGCCAGCGGCTCATCAGCTGGCAGCTCCTTGCACACTGAGTGGGCCCTTGAACCATCCCTGCTCCGTAGCGGCAGTGGCGAGGACCACAGGTCCCCCGACCTGGCCTGTGGCTTAGAGGAAGCAGGAGTTGTTGACAGCAGCAGCCAGGAACCCAGCAACCCCAGCAGCCCTGGCCAGGACCCTGTGCAACGCTGCCGGTTGCTCCAGGGCCTGGTGACGGAGCTTAGGGCGGAACTGTGCTGCCAGCGGACCAAATATGAAGCAAGCCTGAGAAGGTAAAGGGCTGGCTGCGAAGTCAGGCCAGCTCCAGCTTGTGGCTACCCTGGGAGCAGCCTGGGTTGCTGGGTTGGCATGGGCACATCTGTTCGAGCTAGTGACTGGCAGGCCCACTGAAGACTTGGGCAAATCCACACTCTTAAAGTGAGGCAGCCTGGCCCAGAGTCCCCATTGTGCTGTGGATCCTGCAGCGCAGGCCAGAGAGCCCCAATCCAGCCTACCAGGCAGTGAGAGAGACTCCTTCCAGGTGCAGGGTCAGCCCTCCCTTCTGTGCTGGCCACAGGCATAGTAGTGATGTAAGGCCACTTGCACATGGGTCCCTGTCCTTCCTCCATGAGGAGGTCTCTCCCTTTTGCAGAGCGCTCAGGCTGAGAGGCCTTGCTTTTCCTAATATCCAGGGCAGCTACCCTGGACAGTAGGCACAGGCATCCCCCAGCTTTCTGCCCAGGCCCCTGCCAGCTATGTGACCTGGGAGGTGGGCATGCACCCAGCAGGGCCTGTACTCCATCCATGGTGGTGGACGTGGAAGGTGTGCCTGCTTCTGTCTGTGCTGGGCTTCTCAGGGGGCTGAAAGGGCACCATATGGCCCTCTGCTCTGCTGGAAGTATGTCCTAGGCACCTAGGCCAAACTGCCCAGCCAGGGCTTGGAGGGCCAGTAGGTGGGCTGGGGCTATGCTGAGGAGGAAGGAGAGCCAACCTCAGTATGTAAATGGGGTCTGCACCATAAGGCCTGTTCACAGTTGGTCGTGGAGGCTGTGGGCTGCTGCAGGCTGGCTCACAGGTCACAGGGGCACAGAAAGAGTGAACAAAGTGCTGACCAGGGATGCTGGAGGTGGCCAGCCTGTCCCTCTCCCACTGGGCTGCTCTGAGGTCATCTCAAGGGCTCCCCAGAAGAGAGGAGGTACTGCGTGGTAGTTCTGCCTCAGGCTGCCTGGCTGTGACCCCAGCCTGGCAGGTACCAGCTCTGTGTCCCCATGGTCACTCTTCTGAGCTCAGCCCAATGCTGCACACTGTCCCCAGGGCTCAGGATCCTAGGCTTCCTGGGTCATTGCAGCTCTGCTGGAGGAAGACGAAAAAGCCCCTGGTGTCCTCACTGCAAAGTGGCCAGCTCTCCTGGCCTGAGGGATGTCCCCATGAGTAGGGTCTGTCAGCATAGGCAGGTGGAGCAGTTAGGGAAAACATGACCAATCTCTGCTCACATGGAGTCACCGGGCGTGGGTGGTGTGGCCAGGTGTACTTGCCGCCCCGCCTCTTGTTGTCCCCATGTGGAGTCTCCCTTCATCCTCCCCAAAGCACCTGTTGTCAGCCTATAGCAGATACTGTGTTGGTGACACAGCTGTGACAGGACAAAGGGGCCACATCCCAGTTCTTAAATGTGTGCCTGGAGGTTGAGGAGGGAGGGGGGCAGTGAGAGGGGTGGAGGGAGAGTAGTTGGGGTAGAAGACCTCAAGGCCACACCAGCACCCTTCAGTGGCAGCGGCTAGGACCTTGCAGCCTGGTGATGCTCTGGTCTATGGGGAGGGAGGAGAGTATTAATGAGAAGCCTGTGAACCACCCAAAGCACTTTTGTCCCTCTGATGTCACCCCTGACCACCAAGGTGGCACAGTCAGAAGGCCCCAGGCCCATGGGGCGGGGTGGTGGTGGAATGGTCCACGGAGGCACCTATGGAGGTGGGAGAAGCAGCCAGACTGAGGGGGGCTGAAAGGGGAGCCCAGGGGTTTCTGTTGCCTGTGGAGATGCAAAAGGGAGCCAGCCAGTGACAGGACCCATGGTGTGGCCTACAGGCAACACCCCTCGGGCTACAGGGCAGCTGGAGCCAAGGCACTCAGGGCCGACTATGCTCTTTGAACAGGCCACTCATTGTGTAGAGGAGCTGGGGTTCAAGACCCTAGACACAGTCACACAGGGGAGGCACAGAGAGGAAAAAGGAGGCCTGGGACCCTGGCGGCAGCAGGGTATGTGAAGAAGCAGGTGATCCCTCTTCCTGATGCCATCCCCTCGCCTAAGCGAAGGGAGGCCTCCTTCCTGAGCCTGTGCTTACTGCCAAGCTGGATCCCATACTGGTCACGGAAGTCCATCTTGTCACTGCCATGGGACTTATTGCAGCCAGCTAGGTCCCAAGCTCTAGCCAGTGTGTGGTCCCAGGAGACAGGCAGAAGAACAAACATGCCAACCTCTGCATAGTGTGGCCTAAACCTCAGGGCACAGGGTGGAGGCCAGGGGGCAGCGCCCCCTCCACTCTCAGGGGGTCAAGTGACTGGGCAGGTGCAGGGCTGGGCAACCATAATCTTTGTGTTTCATTGAGAACTCTAAGAGGCCTCTAGTCCCCAGCACTGAGGGTGTGGTGCCTCAGTGGCATCTCTGGGTCACAGGGTGGGTGGCTGCTGGCTCACAGGCTCCTGCAGAGCAGGCAGGTCCCTCCATGCTCCTGCCAGGGTGGTGTTTCTTGGACTCTGAAACTCTCTTCTTGGCATTTAAGCATTGAAGAGAGCAGTGCAGAGCTGCGGGGACAGCTTTCTCAGCTGGAGGAGGAGCTGGACCAGGAGCGGAAGAAGCACTCCATGCTGGAGATTAAGCTGCGGAACTCGGAGCGTGCGCGGGAGGATGCAGAACGCCGGAACCAGCTGCTGCAGAAAGAAATGGAGGAGTTCTTTTCTACACTGGGGAGCCTGACTGTTGGGGCCCAAGGCACCAGAGTCCCAAAATGAAAGGACCAGAAGAGTGCACTCCTCAGGCCAAGCCAGAAGCCTTGCACTGGCCCACGGAGGGACAGGTGCTGAACACAGATCCTGCTACCCATGGGACTGCAGGCCCCCCACGCCCAGGGAGGATCTGCTGCTGTTCTCTCCAACTGCACAGAGCCAGATGGGCACCAGAGGGGATGGTGACTTGAGTGGCTTTTAGCCTGTCACCCGGGAAGAGTCCCAGGACTGCCTGCCCCACGGGGCCCAGAGCTGTGAGCTGCCAGGAGCCATCCTGCTCTTCATTAAACGCACTCTTGATAGCATGGTGCATCCTCTTGCCTTGTTCTTTGGTGTGCCAAGTGGGGTTTGTCAAATAGCATCTCAGATGGCTAGGGGTCCTAGGCTCCACAGGGAGCTCCAGCCCTGTCATTGGGGAACCTGTATGCTGCACTCTTAACACGCTCGCCAGCAGGCCACCCTGTCCTCCACCCCTTGCTCCCCATCAGCCTCTGCAGTGCAGTTCTGTCTCAGTCATCTCTGCAGGGCCAGCTCTGCTCCAGGGCTGGAGCCCATGTGTCTAGGGATGCAGCATGTGCAGGTAGGAAAGGGGCGCTGGTTCTGCACTCCCCACTCGCAGTTCCTCAGGTCCTCTGCAGGCCTCAAGCCTGTGCCTCAGACCCCCACAACACAGCTCAGGCTGTGCAGGAGGGGTTGGCCTGCAGTGCAGCAGGGAGGAGGCCACTGTCCATCCCTGTGCCTGGCCTGTGTCCTTACACATGGCCTCGTTAGCCCCAGAGCAGCAGCCTGGGCTGATTTCTGGGAGTGACAAGCACCAAAGCTTCCCAATTTCTGACTGTTGTCTCTGGAGGTGTCATTCAGCCCTAGCCAGCCAGCTCCCTGCAGTTAGCTCTGATAGACAGCAACACAGGCTGCTAGTGCAGAACCTGCTGTAAGTGACAGGGGCTCTGTGCTCCCCTGCTGCCCACTGTGAAGGGCAGCCACTGACAATCCCAGGCAGCCATCAGGGGCCTCCACAGCCACAGTGGCTGGGGGAAGGTAGGGGGGCTTTGTGTTTTGGGGAGACATCTGCCTCTGCTCTGGGTGCTGTCTAGGGAACTACAGCCCCACTCGCCCCCATTTGAGGAGAGAGGCAACTCTGCCAGCTCAGGACAACTCAGGGGGACAGGAACTGGCCTGTTCCTCTTCTGAGGGGAAACAATCTGGGAGCTAGAAGGGAACACATGTAGTTTGGGGCTCCTGAGTTTTTTCATCACAATGCTAGATTTTGCTTTCACATGGAAAGGAAAATGCCTCCAGGATGTTGACAGAGCAGAGCAAGCCAGTGCTCATGTGAGGTTCCCAGCTTCAAAGGGAGCGCTGTCTCTTTCAGCCACCAACCCTGGCAAAGCCTCCACTTCCGGCCAGATCCCTGGAAGGGAATGGTGGCTGGTGAGCCTCATGTGCCGCCTGCTGGCCACGTTCGGGTTTGCAAGTGCACCTTTCTCCAGAGTCCTTGGCACTCTTATCCTTCTAGCTCTGTAACCAGCTCACTCCCTTCTGGCTGGGTAGGTGCTTCTAGGTGCAGAGCACACAGGGAACCTGTGGCTGAGCCACGATGAGCTCTGGCCTGGGGCCCCCACCCTGTCCTCTTCTGGCTCGCCGGTGGTGTCATATTTAGCAATCCTGTTCTTGCATTCAAATATTAAGTAAAATCAAAGATACATGTAAACATATAGGTTAATTCTTTGAAAATCTAATGGGAGGCTTTACAAAGACGCAATGCAAGTCGCTACAAAATACTGTCAAGGTAAGTACAGCTAAGTCAACCATACATCACAGAAATCTGACAAAAGAGGAGTCTACACAAATTTGTGTTTTAACAAAAACACCTAGAAATTGAAGAAGTCTTACATAGAAAAGCTAAAAGGCTAGCTTACTTTAATAGTTTGGTGAAGGGCAAAGTGCCGAGGTATGTGTCTGTAACTCATTACCTGGGAGGCTGAAGAAGGAAGGGATCACAAATTCAAAGTCAGCCTGGGGCTGAGGAGATAGCTCAGTAGAATAAGCCCTTGCACTTGCCTGAGCTCAGTCTCCGGTTCTTTTTTTTGTGTGTTTTTAGTGAAGGGTCTACAGGGTATTCAGAGTCTCACCACTAGATCAGACTCATAGTGATCCACCTGCTTTACAGCCTCCCAAGAGCTGGGATTACAGGCACATGCCACCATACTCAGTCTCAGCACGCCCCAGCGGCGGGGCTGGCACGGCAGGCCAGAGGATTGAACCCCCTATGCCTGCTTGCAGGCACTTCATTCATTCATTCATTCATTCATTCATTCATTCATTCATTCATTCATTCATTCATGGCAAAACTAGGGATTGAACGCAGGCCCTTGCACTTGCTAGACAAGCACTTATTCTACTGAGCCATCTCTCAGGCCCTTGCAGGCACTTTAACTGGCTGAGCTATTTGGCCAGCCCTTCAATCCCCGGTTCTGGAAAAAAAAAATGCTCGGCAACTCTGTTTCAAAGTCTAATTAAAAGGGCTGGATGTGGCTGAGAATATGTGCCTTGCATGTGCAAGGCCCTACTTAATCCCAGCATGCGTGCGGGGGAGAATCTGACAAATGTACTTTTTATTTTCATACTGGAAACTGAACTCAGGACCTTGTACTTGGCCAGGCAGGTGCTTTGTGCTGCTGAGCTTTATCCCTGGCCCAGACAAATGTACTTTAAAACAAATTATAGTGGCCAGGGAGATGGCTCAGTAGAATAAGCCTTTGCCTGGCAAGCGCAAGGGTCTGAGCTTAATCCCTGGTTCCGACAAAAAAACAAAAACAAAAACAAAAACAAAAAAAACAAAAAACCCAAAACAAATTGTAAGAGAGGCTGGGGATATGGCTGAGCAGTACAGCATCTAGGGCTAGCATGAGGTTCGATTCCCAGTATCTCCCCATCCCTGAAATTTGTAATACAATTTTCAGGAGGAAGGAGAGGGAAGGAGGTGCGAGAGCAGATGGCTTTTGAATGATGACCCAGGAATGAGCCATATTCATTCAGTCTCCCCAAGTTTGTCTTCATACAGTAAAAGGACAGTTTGGGGACAGAACTTCGGTACCCATGGCTCTCTAGCCTGAAGGAATGAGCCAATCCAGAAACAGCAGCATGTTGCTGGGACTTTCCCTCTGCACAGGCAGTAGGGCCACACCTCAGCCAGCCCTTCTGTGTCCTGAGTTCTGCTGGAATCATACATGTGTCTGCTGTGAGCTCGCTGCTGGCTCAGCAGCAGGGCACCCCCACCCCCCACTGCATCTGTACTGGTGTCTGTAGAGACCATCTTTCCCACTAGGCATACTGGTGCTCCTTGCTCCAAAGCCAGGGATTCTGGACCTGTGGAGTCTAAGGGGTGTTATGGTATGTGATAAGCTATGATTGCTCCCCAAGTTTGTCTTTCAGTGGGAGGCCATAGGGCTTCAGGGAGGTGCTCTCTAGTGCTGTCCTGCCAGGAGTCCCCAGAGGTTGGCACACATGACTGACTGGCTCCTTGGAAGTGCCAGTGACATTATTTGCTGTACCTTACAGCTGGGACAGAGGCTGGCCCGGGACTAGGTATGAGGTAGAGAAGTGGCTGCTGCCCAAGGGGAGGGGTGACCAGAGCTATGGGCTCCATTAGTCCCCCTGGGAAGATGCTAGCTGGAAGGAGCTAGCATCAGGTCCTGGAGGAGGCTGGACATGCAAGTGGAAACCCTAGGACCAGGATGCCCTGCTGCAAGCCCACCTCAACATGCTCAGCAAGCTATGCCAGACCAGATGGGTCTCTGTGGTGTCTGGGTGCCTGTCTTAAGGCGGCCCAGGAGCTCTGCTTTGGAGCCGAGCCTGAGATGTCACATCCAGCCCCTCTGGCTCCTCTTGACTAAGTCGCAAGCACTCCCTGGATGCTGAGCTGCCAGCCCAGGCACCACTGATCAACAGCAGCCAGCCAAGAGGGCCTGCCAGAGAAACACACTCTCACCTCTTCCTCTTGTGTGCTGCTGGCTTGCTTTCAGCATCTGCCCAGTACTACAAGGACACAAGGGGCAGGAAATGGGCCATGGAGGGCTGAGGACAGGCTCTTCTGGTTCTCCTGCTCTCTGGGGATGGCAAGGATTCCAGATGGTAGGATATTTTTCCTTTCCAACATACAGAATCAGGGAAAACAGCCCTTCAGAGACAAGACACAGCTGGAAGATTAAGAGAACCCTGTGGTCACAGGTCCAGCTGAGAACAGTGGCGCATCATGACAGCTGCAGACCTGCTGCACTTTGGCCAGTGCTGATGTTTAGAACCCCTGACATTCTATCAGGCTTCCTACTTTATCAAACAGATCATGAAGGAATCTACTTACTGTGACCAGAGCAAGGCTACTCTCCTCCTCTAGGTCTGTGGCATGAGGCTGGCACTAACAGCATGACATACATATCCCGACCCACATTCTAAGGGCCACAAACACTGTACTCTTCCTAGGACAGAAACAGCACAGAAAACAGACCTGGACACTGGCTTCCACAGCCTGACACACTGAAAAATGATGTCCCTGCCCTAAGGGATAGGTTCTTCTTCTAGGGCATTCCAAGTAGAACATCAGCAGCAGCAGGGGGTATCTTGCCAGGAGTCCCCAGAGCCTGGCACACATGCCTGACTGGCTCCACACAGGATGCCTCCAAACCCCACATAGGGAAGGTTACATATCCCGGGGTGTGGCTGTGATGGACTCAGTGAACAAGTGCACACGCACACATACAGAGGCCCGTGAGAGAACAGTTGGATCACATACATGCACACACTGAATTCCCCAGTTTCAGCTCTGAACTCACTTGTGATCCTGAGCCTCTTCAGCTTCACCCCTCACAACATCCTCACATGCTTGAGCCACCCTGGCCACCCCATGGGCTTACATGCCTCCCTTCTGGGAACACCCACCCCTCTTCATCCTCAGTGCACTCCTCATGTCCTCCCCAATCCCTCCTGTGCAGCTCAGGAAGGACCTGTTCCCGATCCCCCACAAAGTACTACTGCAGCCTGGCTGCCTGAGCTCTCACCCACTGGTCTGTCCCACTTCTCAGCTTCCAGCACAGCCAGCCATATGAGCTTCCACTAACTGATGATTCAATGAAGTACGTGTTAGAAACCTAACACCTTAAAGTATACTCCAAGTTATCTTTTAGTTTCAAGTAAAGTTCAACCATACTGAAATACAACCTCTAATAGTGAAAAAATTTTAAGCCACAAAATCGGTACAATTCAATCTTCATTCAAAGTTACTTTTTAGGAACAATACTTTAGAAAGTATCAGCTCTAATGTTATGACTGGGTGGAAATCTTAAAAAGTCAACAGATTTAAACTCAACATTGTGATGTCTGCTCCGGTCATTAAGCAGGTCAGCAGAGGCCTCTCCAGTGACTGAGGAAACAGCATCAGGCAGCCCGCCCACAGCCGAGGCAGTGGCAGCACTCAGAGCAGTGCTGCCCTCTGTGCTCTCAGGGTGCAGAGGGGAGCTGGCCACGCAGTTCGCAGGGTCATCGCCCTGAGGCAGGCGGCCTCCCGCACTGCCAGCCACAAGCTCACAGGGAGACAAGAGGAGACCCATAACAGTTGGCAATGCATTTCAAACTTAAAGCTCCTGCTTATCCCATATGGACATTAAAGCCACATTCCAAAGTTTCTCTAGCGATTTCAAAGGCCAGAAGGCAAAATCAATCCTGAAGCCAGGGTGATGGCCATGACTCTATGTGTGTTAAACTCCCAGTCTAAGACACCTGTCAGCATCCTCTTTATGCCAACTCACAGGAAATCCTCGATCATCAGGAAAAACTGATCAGTTTTCTGTTCAATGAAAAAAACTAATTTCATAATTTTCATACCACTTTTTTCTTTTTTATTTAAAATATTATAACCAATTGACATACTAGATAACATTGTTTACATTCCAGTGGTGCATGTTGTATGACTAGGGCATGAATGATTAAAAACCACAACAAGGATCTCAGCATTCCCTACAAAGTGCCCCATTTCGTTTTGTCTAGAGAGGAGGGAATGGCACGTGGGGAGGGGTGGGGTGGGGCGGGCGAAGCAGGGCAGAGGATGACATGGAGGGGAGGAAAAGCGAATGTCAATCATATTTAGGCTTCCAGGTTCAAAAACCTATTGAACAGGATAGACTGCAATGAGAAAATAGATGTCACAGTCCAGGTAGACAGCTACTTCAGTTTAACTTCATCATTCGGCTAAAAGATTAACAGCTTCTCAAAAATATACCAAATATTGGGCCTACAAAAGTAATTTATTTCTTCGTAAAATTTACTAAGATTTATTCCTTTTGTAAAATGTAAAGAATGGACTGATATCACGAGCAGGTTTCTACTTACAAAAACAGACAGTGATAATGTCAACAAGCACATCTAACACAATTTTCCAAGATACATAGCGAAAGATTTTACATGTGTCTCTTACTGATGCAAGGTATCTATAGTACATACTTACTGGGATTTTGTCAACATTGGCTATAAAGTATTCAACGCACATTTATAATTCATACTCAGTAAAGATCTAACAGTAAGGGCAACAGCTTACTTGGGAAAGCATAGAAAATTAGTGTGAGGTAGTTCAATAAAAACCTAGTTTAATTTTAAGTCATTGTGAGAATAGAACATTGTGCAAAGCTAATCCACAGGTCATATTTCTCAGAAGTTTCAGTAACACAGAGAATCTAAATCAGAAATGGCCAGAAGGCGTGACTCTTACTACACTCTCCTAAAGAGCACTTCACTAAGAACAGTCACTTTTTTTTTTTGTTTGTTTGTTTTTTTGGAGATACGGTCTTACTCTGTAACTTACATTGGCCTTAAACCAGACAGTCCAGGCTGGTCTTGAACTTGCAGCAATCCTCCTGCCTCGGGCTCCCGAGTGCTGGGATTACAGGCATGCGCCACCATGCCCAGCCTAGAGCAGTCACTTTGAAATTAATTAGGACTTTTGTTTTCCAATCTTACCCCAAACTATACATTTCCGTTTCAATGCCCTTTACCTCTTCATCTTTCTTGCTACTTATTAAGAACAAATGAGTTTCCTCTGATTCAGGAAGAAGCTGAGAGAGATCAGTAGAAACACGATGCACACTGAAATGCAACAGGCTGTGGAGTGGCTACGTCCAAGAGGGCTGCTAACGATGGAAGGTGGTGCTGGATTTCCTACGTACTGGTAAGAGAACATCACTGGGGTCACGGGGCGTCATGCATCCACTCTACAGCTAACGTGCGACTAATGGACAATACTTACAAACACCTACAACAGTACACTCAAAAAGAGACTGTTTTTACCCCACAATGTTGTGTAGGCCACTGCCCAGGCAACACTGATGGCTAAGTCTTCCCTAGGGTGGTAGATAACGGCTGACAGCGCCAACTGAGTCCAACTTGGGACCCAGGACACAGCCTTGTGTGCTTCCTGAAGACTCCCTAGAGGACACTGGTGTCCTCTTCGCCTTCATGTTTTTGGACAACAAAGAAAGCTGGGAACAGAGCAACCTAAAGGCTTACGGGAGATAGCTGTTTTGCAAACCATGTGGTGGGTGCACAGCAGCTTGCTCCCTAAGAAGCTGTACATCTCTCACAGTCTGGTGTGAACACACTGTGCTTCCAACTGGGAAGAGTACACATGAGAGCAGTCTGCAGCTGACGGTGTGGGACTTAATGGGTACAGTTCAGCAAACAGTAGGAAAGAGCCCAGGTGCTCTACTCCTGTGCATTATAATCAAGTGATCCCGACATGACATGTGCCAAGCAGGCCAGAGAACTGTCATCAGGAAACATGGAGGCTCAGATCTCATCCCTAACCAACAACATTAAATGGCCAATCTCAGTAACTTGCTGACACCTCTGGGACAATAAGTATATTAAATGAGTGTATATAATTGAAAAGCCAAAATCATAGGAAAAGTGGCTCAACATAAGTTATTTCCCAACATAAATATTTGTAATTAAAAAAAAAGTTTAAGATGCTTTAAGATACTAAGCCAAAAAGTACCAATACATATTAGCTTAACAGACTTATGTAAAGAGGGGAAGCTGCATTTAGACAAAGTACTTTAAAAATCTGGGGCAAGCAACATTTGACAAACAGACTCTGCTTTTAGGATATAATCTGTTAGGTAATTTATATTAAGTACTAAGAGTGTTTTTCTTTGAATTCAACCAAGACATGACAGTTGGCAAGTGGGAGCTGGCGTTTACAGTGAACATACCTGATTTTCCTTGCCTAACCAAAATCTGTATCAGCAGAGATGGCTTATTAGCAACCAAATATAAAAATCTTCTGAAAGCATGTCAGCTGTTAAAGTGCAATAGTGACACAATCTATCCTAGAGAAAATAAAGCTAATTCACTGTAAAATTAATCTGAACTAAGAACACATTCATCCTGAAAGTTCTGCTAAAACCATGAGTTCAATCTTGTTTATAATAACTCAAGAGGCATTATAGTCTCAAGACACTAATTTACCTAATAAAATTAATGCACCACGTTGTATGAGTAGAAAAGGGATTGATCCAAAGGCTGGGAGGCTAAAAATCACAACTTTAAACCATCAAAAACATACCTGCTATTTCAAAGTATATAAAAAAGGTGAATGTATTTTAATCTTAAATATTGCACATTAACAATGACCTAAATGCCTTACTTAAAAGGAAATTTGCATTGAATGTATAAATAAAATGCCAAGTGAAATTTCAGACATTTGTTGAGCTGCTCTTGCTCCTGCTGGCATATCTCCAGGGTTTTTCTGCCTAGAACCTTGCTGCTTCTGTCAGAATGTACTTCCCAGTTCACTACATGAAACCGCTTTTGTTCCAGATGTAACAAAAGGTGCCTGGGGCCACTACAGACAATGTGTTTCAGAAATTATGAGACAGCAATGATACTTTACTCAGGAAAAATTCAGTTATAGAGAAATAATTCTGCAGATATAAAATGTAAACAGTTAACACACACTTGTTAGGAGCAGCACCATTCTTACACTACTCAACATCCACATTGCGTGTTATACTGGAAATCAGGTATAACAAATCAAAGATCTCAGACTAAATAACCACCATTTATGCCTGCTCTGCTCGATGTGAATAAACAGTCCTTAGAAAATGATATCCTATATATGGCTGTGTGCTACTATTTTCAGATGAACGGTATATTGCTCATTTGATACGTCACCTATGTAAATCTAAGTAGGTCCAGAACCTCCTGACAGCTAGTATGTGTAAGTGATCACACTACAGGTAGAATCAAATGGCCAAAAACACCATGAGAACTGGTGTTCAACTGAGTGACCTCCAAGGAATAGAAAACCAGAAGGGTCCAAGGGCTGGAGGCTGCAGGAAAGGGAAAGACCAGACTCTAGACCACTGCTAAGATTTACATCCTGAGATTAACTCAGTGTGTACAAAAACAGGCTCATAGCTAGTAAGTGAACCGTCTGTTTATTTGTATTGAAATGTACTATTCATGAAGTATCCTCTTGACTTTTATGTAATAAACTTTGAGCATGCCACAAATTTGTGAAATACACCATAGTCCATGACGTGACTTTTGTTGGGTGGGGTGGGAGACTAACAAGGTGGTGGTTGGTACATGCCCAGCATCTTCAAAGACACACTCTGAGTTATTCTGCCATTTAGATGATGGAACTCTGCCAAAATTCAGATAGGATCACCTACCTACTGATTACTGTGACTAAAATTGGATTGGCTAGTAGCAAATATTGGAGGTCTCTTGACACGTTCATCATTTACAGTAGTTATTCCTGAATATAACTGGCTACAGGTTATCTTCCCTCACTCCTCTGGGGTTATTTCATTGATAAGCACATAACCCTGAAGGATAGCATCATGAACAAAACATCTGAAATAAACTCTAATAAAAAAACTATAAAAATCTTAAATAATTCATGATATAGGCAAGTCACCACATAATAGTTGCTTTGATAAACAAAATCTTACAAATTCAGTAAAAAAATCAGCAGCATAAGATAAAGCAAATATGCAAAAAATTTAAACCATGATAAAATAATTAGGTTTACATTATACAGTTAATTACAGCAAAAAATACAATACAGTTTTGTTGCTGTTGTAAAACACAACTTAGGTTTTAAATTACATCACTTAAAATTAAAAAAAATAAACTACTTTACTACAAAATGAATTCTACAGTTTTTGAAAAATCACTCAAAAATAAGACCACTGAATTGTTCTCAAAGTAGTTCTATCAATGACTAACTGACTCCCCACCCCCCACCCCCAAGGCCCAAGTAGTCATCTACAGCAGCCCAGAGGCCCAGCCGATGCTTCTAGACTGCTGTCAGTATCCGAAGCCAAAGTCGGATCTGTGGACATCGAAGACACATCATTGACAGACGAGGATGAGGATGGGTGCTGCGAGCCACTGATCACGGCTGCACCTGTGCTATGAGAAACAAAACAGCAAATTAGGTGTAGAGAGTAGCAGGCTGGGCTACCTGCATTGTCCTATGTAGACCAGCAGTCAAAGTGACTGCTCATTTAGGAGGCTCACCAAAATCAACCACAAATGATAGGGCACCTAATACTAACTTACAAACATTGCTCTAAGCAAGCTGAGATGATGACCTTGAGCATGTCTAGATGCCTGGAGTCCTGTCATTTCCACTAACTTTTCTTTGAAGCAAAAGCTTGAAGTCCTAGTAACACTTGGCATGACTGGTCCACCAGCATGACCCATGGGGGGCTTCAGGGTATACACTGCATGTTGTTGCAGAGAGGCTTTCACAGAACTAAAAAGTTTAAAACTACTGACCTACAGAAAATTACTTATAGTATCTTCTCATGAAAAAGGACAAGGTAGACAACACTTCCGGTACATCTTGTAAACCAGAAACTAATATGAAGCATAGTATCATTTTCAGTGGGAGGGACCCAAATTCAATTGTCCTGGTTTACACGAGCTTACGTGACTTTTCAGGGTAACACAAATAGCCTAGTTAGGTAAGGTCTACTTATTTTGAATATAAAAGATACTTAATAAATACAAATATGGATTTATTAAACAAATAAAGAACAGGGGTGAAGTAGTACCTAGCAATCATGTCCCAGATTATAAAAAGTAATAAGAACACCTGACGCAGAGAGATATCCTTTCAAAGTGCAGAACTGGAAAGGGTTAGGGGGCAGGAAAGTCTCATACCATGGCAGGGGACCTGTAAAAGGCAACCTGCATACAATGTAAGGATCAATGAATCAAACAATCAACTAAATAAGGGTCATTACAAATTTGAATAATGTAAGTCATACACAAGTTCTCAAGAACACATTTATGGCATATACACAGGGTTATCCAACTAAACGCTGAGCAGAATTTCTAAGGGTAAGGGTCAGGTACCCAGTGCTCCTATAGTCAAACAGGATGAAATTACTGCTCCTATGCCCAGCTTCTCTGTGCGCCTGCCTTCAGGTGCAACTTGTAGATCCCTCTGGCAAGGGGAGGGACCTGGGAAGCAGAAAGGAATGGAACTACAGGGGACACAGTGTGTATGCTGGAAGCTGAAATAGGAAAGGAAAGCAGCCTAATGAGAAAAAGAATGGGAAAGACCTGCTGGCCATGAGGAAGGCCCAAGAGATTCCCTGCAAGGGCACATGGAGCTTGTACTCTCTCTGTAGTACAAACAATCTGACCCTGTGATTTGGTCTCTGCTATCTGAACAGTGCACCACACACTGTACTGCACACCATACACAGCGCAACATAGCTAACGTCTAAGAACTGTGCCGGAACATTTAAATCATAAAAAATAATTCTATTACACATGCTTTTCATATAAATCTCTACCTCAGGAGCTGTTCATTTTATCTAAAAATTTTAATCTGGTAAAAATTAACTTTTAACACATTATAATGAGTTAACTTAAAAATGTGAAAATCAACCACCTAAGAAAAATAACTTCTCTAAACCCTAAAGCAATACAATAAATTCTTTTCTTTTTTTGGTACTGGGAATCAAATTTAGGATCTTGTGCTTGCCAGATAGGCACTGTGCCGCCAAGCCACATCCACAGCAATAAATTCTTAAATACATGAAAAGTAACAGTAAGGAACATTTTTCATCTCAGATATCTGGGTCATTTCTTTCTTGAGTGTGTCTTCACAAGCCTGACAGGCCAACTTAATTTAACTGCCAAACCAAACTCTAGAAAGGCTGGCAATCCACTGAGAAAAATAAGTGTCATTTTTAAAAATCAAATGGAGATGGTAAGATGGTATAGTGATTATCTGATATTTTTATTTAACAGATTGTTCCTTCCAGCTCTGTATGCAATCAAGAATTTTTTTTCTTTTTGCATTTTAGGACAGGGTCTGCAGGGTCTACAGGGTCTCACTATGTCAATCAGACTCGTAGTGAGTCTCCTGTTTATAGCCTCCCAAGTGCTGGGATTACAGGTGCGTGTCACCAGGCCCAGTCTTAACTGCCATCTCAGCGCACCCTGGGGGCAGGGCCAGTACGTCACGGCACGCCAGGGCCTGAACCCTGGCCGCTGCGCTTTGCCTAAGCAAGTGCTTTAGTCTACTGTGCTATCAGGCCAACCCTAAGAACTGAATATTTTTAAACTATTTAAACATTCTCTACATCCTAACAGAGAATTCACAATGTCTAGAAATCTCAAGCTCTATGCACTGACTTACTTTGTGATGATAAGTACTACCTAGTAATCACATTATTCACTTAAGAAGCTAGAAGAAATATGACTATTCTACTGAGCTATGAGATCATTACACCTCCTCAAATGCTTAAGTGACATGTTTAGTATGTATGAACTACTCACTAGGATGGCATGCCAGAGTAGAAATTGTCCCAAATCTTACCCAAGCCTCCCTTAAAACAACTCATTTACAATACTACTATGAAGCAGTACAAAGCTAATCAACTATGTTACTGAATCACTTACAGTGCAACTTATAAGTGAAATGTAGAGAAAAGACCATTTCCAAAATAGTAAAACCTGTCAAAATCAATTTATATTTCAACAGAATCTATACTATAGATTCAGAAGGTTGCATTCCTGATCAAGAACTTCAGATATAAAACTCTAATAAAGATAACCAAAATGCCAAAGGAGGCCACAAAAATTAAACAAGTATGTGTTTAAAAGGAAAAAGTGGGCATATGAAACTATGTAGTGAAGAAGCTTACCTACACATAAAGTGCTAGATATGTGTCGATCCCTTTTTTTTTCTTTAAAACTGTTGATGAAATTTAAAGGAATAAAATGGCATAGTTTTGTCCCAAATCATGACCTAGTTCTTGAATCCTTACTCAGTCTTTAAAGCTCTGCTCAAATTTCATTTTTTCCATAAAACTGTTCTAACCTCTACAGCAGTGATGGCGAGCCTTTCAGAGCTTTCAGTAATACAAACAGCCCACTGCAGCATATGTGCCACAGGTTCCCACCATTGCTCAAGAGCCACAGACGTCTCTGCCACCAGCTAGAAGGAATCTGGAAGGCTAAGGATAACAGGCACTATTAGTTGTTGGTTCTCTTACATGACAGATCATCTTATAGTACCTTTCCTGAAATTCAGTATCCTCATCTCTAAAATGTGCATACAATCACTACTTTGGGGTGAAGGGAGGAAAATGAAATACAAGTACAAAACCACCAGTGTCTGTCACATTGTCAGTCCTTCCAATCTTTTGTACATTTACAGTCCCCAAGATTAAACTGAGATGAGTTTACAATAAAAGGAAATGTTTTACTCCTGCAAAGTAGTTTTCTTCTTGGGGGATAAATGCTTTCCAGTGGTGGTTTTAATGTCACTGCCACAAATCAAATATACTGAAATGAGAAAGATAGTAGTAACAATGCCAGTGGGAAAAGGTTTTAAATTTCTACCCTTCAGTGGAATGTCAGCATCAGCAAAAAAGATACACATTTTACAAAGTCAGTTAGCAATGTCACTGTCAACTGTTAGGCCAACAGTGTATTGGTGCTTTCAGATTTGACCAACCAGACTATAACTTTAGTAACAGTATAACTTTTAGTAACAGTACTAAGTATGGAAAGCACTGCGGGTTTCAGGCTACCGAAGATCACAATACAAGAAGTCAACTGCAACCTCAACTACGCTTATATTGTAACCAACCTAAAGGAGAGGGCTGCCCCCGGATAACTCCATTCTTGGTTCTCTCCTCCAAGTCCATCACTTCCTTGTATATCAACTCTGAAAAAGAGATGGGCAAAAATGAACGCTGCAAAGCCTGACAGCCTATTTTGGAAGACATGCATAAGTCAAAACCTTAAAAAATTCTTTTTAAAAATGTATTTAGTACAGGGTCTACAGGGTCTCATTACACAGATTGGACTAGTCCTGTTTTCAGCCTCCCAAGCGCTGGGATTACAGGCGCATACCACCACGCAGTCTCCATTGTCATCTCAGCATGCCCTGGGAGTCGGGCTGTCACAGCACGGCACACCAGGGATTGAACCCCCCATGCCTGCACCTGCCTAAACAGGTGCCTTAGTTCTCAAAATTTTGATTAAACATACTAAGTACTTCAGATACTGCCTTTCAATGCATGGTGGTCCCCACATGTCATTCATGTGTGTTAATAACAACTCCTTTATCCTCAACCACAAATAATGCTGTAAGAAAATAAATACTTCTGAGGTTGGCTTAGGGTCAGCACTGGAAGTCGAGGAAGTTTTATCTGTTTATGGCCAGAAACCTGTACTGTACAGACTCCAGTGAACCACACAGCATTGTGCACTATGGCTGCTTATTTCACCCTTTCTCAGTCAGGCCCGCACCTGTGGTTGTCCTATTCACTTCCACTGCCTGAGCCCTGGCACACTGGAGATGCTCAACCAGGTATCTGTCACAAAGATTTAAATCAGAACAGATGGAAGATTCTTGTATTAAATGGAACAGAAACAAAATCTTTGAAAGAAAGAGCATCAGAGAGCTACATTCAACATTGCTGTCATTGCCAACATTTGGCTTCTGTTCTCTGCAGTTTGAAGACCATAGCAGAATATACTGAGAACAGCTCCAACTGTACAAAGAGCAGTGTGGCCCCCCAGCTGCCATCTTCTAGGAGATACCAAGTATGGCATGCCTTGAGGTTCTCATACCACTCTCTGAATAACGTGCTGGTGAATGCCACCTCATTATTCATCTCTGGGTCGTGGAGTCTTTAAAGAATTGTATAAAAGCAGTGAGCTATGGAAAAAAAAAATGTATGAACCCAAAGCACTGCCTACAATTTCAATAACTCTGCACAACTCTGGAAAGAATTCCTAATTACAAAGTCTGATAACATTTATATTGGTCATAAGGTGAAAACGGGTTCAAATGACCACAGGTTGCTTGCTATGGTAATCTTGGCTCTAGAAGGACAGAAACAGAAAGTTGACAGATAAAAGAGAGATGCTATTTCTTAAAAGAAAAATAAAAGAATGATAAATATTACAGATAAAAGGATTTTAAAAAATCCTTTTGTGAAAGGAGACAAAGACAGAAGAACCAAACTAACAGAAGTATTAACTAGGCACACAATCTGTAGTTCTGGGCTTTGGCAGTAAATTTTCTTTCTTGCAATGATACAATGAATCTGTGAAATACCATAAATGTCTACTATAAACCAATGGGATATGAAATATACATGAAATACACACACACACACACACACACACACACACACAATTTGTATGTTTGGTACAGGGTTTCACTACACAGATCAGACTTGTAGTGATCCTATCAGCCTCCTAGCACTGGGATTATAGGTGTGCGCCACCACCTCCGGACTTTGCCACCAACTCAGTGCACCCCGGGAGGCTAGGCCAATGTACCATGCAGGACCCTGGTCAAACCCTGGTCCCGGCACTTGCCAAAACAGGCACCTTGTCCTCTGAGCTATCTCACTGGCCCTTGTCCAGTGAACATTTTAATATTACTCTGGTCCCAAGTTACATTCCTTGCAGACAGCTCAGTACACAAGCAGACATACAAGGCTCTAGCCAAGTCATTCATTTTGCAGGGCCCTATCAACCATGGGTCTCCCAAAATCAACTGAGGAAATCAGTTACTGGTTATCCTAACAAATAATCAAATTCTTTTTTTTTTTCTTTTTTTGTATTTTTTTTTTAGTACAGGGTCTACAGGGACTACAGGGTCTCACGTAAATCGCACTTGTAGTGATCTGCCTGTGTTCAGCTTCCAGAGAGCTGGGATTACAGGCGTGCACCATCACGCCCAGTCTCAATCACCATCTCAGCATGCCCCAAGGGGCAGGACCGGCATGGCACAGCACACCGGGGAGCAAATTCCGACCATTGTGTCTGTTTCCGCTTTTAATCCACTGAGCTATTTGGCTGGCCTGCAAATTCATTTTTTGCAATATCATTTTATCAATGGGTTCAGTTCCCTGTTTAGGCTTTCACCTCCTAGTACTGAGAAACCCAGCTCTTCATAACAGATCTTCTGCTTCTGATACAAAAAGGGGGTCAGGGATTTTGCTCAGTCACATAGCTAAAAAAAGTAGTTCAAACACTAAATAATAACTACACAGATGGAGGTACATAGGTCTAAAAGTTACTCAGCCAAATGTTCCAAGAGATTTAAAATATATGTATTTCAACACGCCCAAGACAAAGCATAATTAATGTTCAGCTACATTCATAAAGTAGAATAAAACTACTATATTAGATGTGCAAAAACTAAAATTTCAGCCCTTCTGCTGGTAAGGATGATGGTCAACAGCTCTCAGCAGTACAGATGCAACTGCAAACTTTTCTTTTTAAATGAATTTAGCGCAGGGCCTTCATGATATACTGGGTCTCATCATGTAGATCAGACACATAGTGATTCTCTTGTTTTCAGCCTCCCAAGTGCTGGGATTATAGGAGCATGCCACCACGCCCAGTCTCTGACCGGCCCAACTGCAAACTTCTAAAAACAGCATTTGAGGGCCAGCAAGATAGCTCAGCAGACGAAGCACCTGTCGTGGCAAATGCAGGGACCAGGGTTCAATCCCCCGTTGCACATGCTGCGCTGACTCCACTCCTGCGGTGCACTGAGCCAGCCACTGAGTCCGGGTGTGGTGGCAAACGCATTTAATCCCAGTGCTGGGGAGGCTGGAAACAGGTTGATCACCGTGAGTCCACGCTGTGTAGTGAGATCCTGTACCAAATACATAAATAAAAAAAACAAAACGAAACGAAACAAAAACAGTGTTTGGCACAGTATATCTCTTGTGGCTATTCTCATAACAATGTTCTCTAAACACCATAGAGCTGTCTGTAACAGCAATAGCCTGGGCCCATCTGAAAGGTGCTCCAAAAGGGAGCTGGACAGAGACTGTAACACATGTTCACAGCACAACACACACCAGCAATTAAATCAAGTGGGGCATCTATGCAGCTCAAGAGAGGCCATTTTCAAAGTACTTGACTGTATCAACATAGCAAATGTGAATAGTATACATAGTATGCAAGGACTTGTAGTTACACAGACACACTTGTATAAATATACACTATGGAAAAACAGGAGAAAGCACTAGTGTCCCTGTGTCTAGGGTGGAAAACTTGGGAAATTAAGTCAGGGAAAAGAGATTCATTTTCCACTTTTGTAGAAGTAGAAGTTATTATTACTACCAAATTATCAGCTATGTCTACTTCAGTGTTGGAGATAGTATCCCACTATGTTGTCTGGGCTGGTTCAAACTCATGATCCTCCCACCTCAGTCTCCAAATTAATAGGATTACATGTGCTAATATAGCAGGCACAAATGTTAGTTATGAAACAGAAAATACGCTAGATGTGGTGGCACACACCTGTAATCCTAGCTGCTGAGACCAAGGCAAAAATATCAAAAGATGGAGGCTAGCCTGGGAAACAGAGTAAGTTTCTGTCTCAAAATAAAATCTTAAAAAAAGGCTGAGGTGTTGCTCAGTGCTAGAGCTCTTGTCTCACATGCGCAAGCTATTAGATTTAATCTCTAGGAACAAGAAAAAAATTAAATTAAAAAGAAAAGAAATTAAATAAAATAAAACATAAAATAGCATTAATTTCCTTAACATGAAATGCAAGGAACAAATTATCTGAGTTCAATCCCCAGTACCATAAAAAAAAAAAAAAAAAGGAAAAGGAACAAATTATCACAAAAAGCCAGAAACTCTGTTTTCTAAAAACTCTTGCAGGTGTTACCTTTCCACTCTTCTATTGTGTGTTCCCTTTCATCTAACTGTTTGTCAGGGATCTTTGGTGGTGGCTGAAAAACACAAAGGTATAATAATACAGTCAGTTTCCTGGAACTATATAAACTCTTAATAGCTACTTGATGACTTGTAAAAATACATCCTTAAGTCTAGACTGATCAACTGTCAACAAGCTCCTCATGTAGGCTAGTTCTGTAAGACTTTTTATTGCTCAAAAAAAGATATTTATGTTTTTCTTTTCTGCTAACTTTTGAAATCATCGTATCTTATTTATTTCATAGAGGAGTTTTGCTATGCTTTGGTCTAACAATTTGCTTTATAGTTAAGTTAGGCTGCCCCACAGAAGTCTTTCCATCCCAGCCCCTCTAACCAGGTGTCAAGGCAAGAGAGGGAGAACAGCACAAGGTGGCTTCCTTGCCTCCAAACTGCCTAGACACACTTGGTACTGAAAGGTACTCTTCATGCAAAAAGAGAAAGGCACCATCATCATGAGTCTGTGTTTAAAATAACAAGGTCTCCTTCAATTTTAATGCTAAGAATATAGTATGTTCTTCTAACATTAAGAAAAGGACTCACAGCTTCCGCTTCGGAGGGATCATACCAGACATTGATATATGGGTGCTGGAGGGCTTCATCCACAGAGATCCTTTTAGACGCATCTATTACCAGCATTTTGGATAACAAATCCCTTGCCTGGCTGGCTGCAAAAATAATGATGTTAAAGGACACATTCATAAAGGTTCTCAAAAATTATTAGTAATATTTAAGAAATTCAAAATTAGCTTTTATTTCTGTTTTATGTATACACTCTTACATTTAAAAAAGTTTTTAAATTATAAACTCAGGTAACATGATTAAAAATATAAAATCAAAGGTAAATTCACTTTAAAGGTTAAAACTTCACTTTGTTCAACCACCCAGAAATAATTCTGGATTGTATGCCATATGGCCAGACACACACACACTCTCTCTCTCTCTCTCTCTCTCTCTCTCTCTCTCTCTCTCACTGGGATTGAATATATACATATGTAAAAATTACCTTTAAGTTTGTTATGTTCTGAGTCAGCAGGGAAAAGTACATCAGGGAAGAGTTTCTCAAAGCTATATCCAGCATATTTAGGTCTGTTTTCAACATAAGTCCTTACTGTTGGTTGTAGTTTCTTCATGAATTCAGGACATGGTGTTCCCAGCTGTTCAATAACTTTATTCCACTGGTCAATATCTAATACCAAGTAGCTAAGAAAAATACTCTGTATGTAATGTTCAAAACATTAGTCATAGCCATATTAAAATACAAAAATATGGAAATTTAAAGAGTCCTAAGAAAGAATGTGGCAGTTATAAATTTTGTATTTCATAGCTAACTTGAAAGGCAATGACTTTAGGTGGACAGAAATGATCAATAAATAAGCTTTGCTAACCTTATTTATTGTGTGCTTACTCTGTGTGTGTGTGTATATATATATATATATATATATACTAACTTTACCATCAAGTAGAATCCTAATTTCCCAAATTTGGAACATAAATTACAAATACCTGAAATTCAAATCATTACTTCCCACAGAGTCTACGTGCAATCAGTACATAATTCCAATACATAAATTTTGTCTTTTTTCCAGCTTCTCAGTAAGAAAAAATGTGTCCTACAGAATGAGGACTATTTCTATAACCTGTGTTGCTTTTTAAAAAGTTTTCTACACTAACATAACCTGTAGAAAAAACACTAGTTTGATAAAATGGCATTTTTTGTTTTACTTATGTCAATAAAAAATTTTAAAGCTCTGAAACTTATAAAAATATTCACTATTTTACTAAGGTGTAAGGTTAGGACTCTGATCTCATTCCTCCTAATCTTTACATTTCAAATCCCTGAAGACTTCGAGGCTTACTATAACCTAGTGAATACTCACATTCCTCCTCCTATAGAAATTCTAAATATTACTTTTTCATAAACATATCATTGTTAATATAAACATGAAAAGTAGTCAGAAAAACAAAAGGCACTAATCCAAATCTAACTAAACGTTACCATTTTCAGCTACTACTGCTGAAATTCTCACGTGAAAGTATCAGCTATGTTATGTCGAGTAATGAGACAACAATCAAGACAAAGAACACACGAAACATTAACAAAAAGGAGGTGGAAGGACAAAACAAAAGAATGGTCAGCAGCAACAGGCAATTCCAAAACTCACATTAAGCCCCTCAGTATACTCAAGTGTATGATTAGAAATTTTTAATGCAAGCCATGTTTTTTATTTAGGTTAAATAAGTCAACTCAAAGCTAGCAAAAAAAAAAAAAAAAAAAAAAAAATGTGGATAGTTACACTTGAGCACTTTTCATGTAAGAAACAGGAAAGAAAGTCTAAGTCAAATTGTAGGTGGTATTTTGAAAGTGTAATTTAACAATATATTAGGGAGAGACAAAATACATTACACCTGACCAAGTTGATGTGCTGCCATACATTTTGACCTTTAGAAACTACTTTTTAGGCCAAAGATAAGGATACGATCTGTACCTGGGAACAAAACACCACCTTTGATCATTTCTCCCATGATGCACCCAACTGACCAAATGTCAACTGAAAACAAAATGCAATGACATTAACATAAAGATTTTGGTTAAAATAAAAAGAAAATATATAAACATTAAAAAAAATCACACACACCATGTATATTTTAAAATCATAAAAAGCAGTATGAAATAAAAATGAATGACAGTGAATGTGCTCTGACTACCAGCAGAGACTGTATGTCCTACTGCCAGATGCAGCCTACAAATATTCAGTTTATCTCAATAATTTTTGAAATATAACAGCCACAAACTTTACATCTGTTTAAAAACCTGTATAAATGGATGTAGCATATTCATTTTCATTGAAGAACAGGAGTAGTTTATCGTCACCTCACTAATTGATCTGCTGCAACAGCACAAGGATACAGTCCCTTCCTGGAAAGAGGATTTTGTGGCAAACCATTTCTCCCATAATGCACCCCACAGACCATAAATCCACTATATGTTTGCAGCACAAAAGAAGGAAAAGCAAAGCAAAAGATTATTAAAATCAAAGAAGCATAATATGACTGCATTATATAAAACAGCAAAACATCACAAAAAGAAAAAAGTGATTTTAATTTCTGCTAATGGAATAATTTAAAACAAAGTATTTTTCAAAAAGCTCTGGTTCATAAAAGAAAATGAAAAGTGTGGCATTTAACTACCTCATATTAAAGTGAGAGCTATGCACAGAAATTGCACAAAATAGAAAGCATTCCACAAATGAGAATTTATAAAATGTGAACTAGAAACAAACAAGCTTTATAAAGCATATGATAGGAAAATTATAAAAATAAAACACACTATTTTGAAGTTCAACTGTGCACTATACTCTCTCTTTAAGTCAAATAAAAGAAAAAAGCACAAGCAGAAATAGTTTGGCATATTAAAATACTTAAGAAAAACAATGTCTCTATGAGCAGTTACCATAAAAAATTAATTTCTTCAGAAATTTTCAGACTGGATTTCATAACGTTACTTAAGAAGTGTTCTATCTATTCTGAAATCAATTATTTTCTTGGTAATATCACTTTGCATTCACCCTAGTATTCCAACAGTAACAAGTTCATTGAAAATGAATAGCTAATTTATGAAAACTGAGGAAAGACAGGAGGAATTTAGTAATAGAATTTAAAAGAAATAGATTTAAAAGAAAAAAGCTAGAAACTTGGATTTGGGTTTTAAAGGTTTTTTTAGGGGAAAAACAGGAAAGGGCAGAGTTAGACGTTAGTGATACGTCCTTTACCATGTTAGAGTATTTAGGAGATTTAAGCCTGTTTTCTAGCACACTCCTTCCTGTAAGGAGAACGCCAGCTCAATGTAAACTGGTTGTAATTTTTAGAAATCTTAAGAAACTGAAGAAGTTTCCTTAAAATTTCATACTAAATACATGTAAACCTTTTTATATTTATAGCATGATTCAACTTTCAAGGATGAAATTTTAGAGGGAAAGTTAAAATTCATAAATTAGTTCACCAGAGAATAATCTCTTTCAGTTTTCCTTTCTGGTAAACATCTATTAGAATTAGTGTGTGTTTTGTTTTTCATAAATTGCAATGCAAATGGCAGGCTAAGTAAACAGGACAGGACTTAAGCTGGAAATCTTAAGAAAAACATGGCTTTAAACATGATGATCTTGAAAGCTACAAGTATAAGAAGAGACATCACCTGGCTCAGGGAAGACTTCCTTGGACCATAAATCTGATTCATACACTAGTCTAGTATTGAAAAGGGCTAACAGGCTTAAAATATATTTATCCCATCCTATATTTTTCAAAACGATAACAAGCAGCCTGTGATTTAAAAACAATAACAACATAAAACAAATATGTTGTAACAGGTGTGAGGGTGTCACTAAAAGGGAGAAGTACGCATGTGTAACCTGCTGGCTAAAATGTTTTCATGAACAAGAATGGCATTTGATTAAGTGTCCTGGGGAAGGGGTGGGAAGTAGTAGGATGATTATGGAATTCTTATAAAAGACGGGACAAGATGCCAACTCTGAGGGGGGTTTTCTTTGGTGCTAATCTCTGGCAGGGGTTATCTAAAGATCATATTTATAGGACATTATACAACATCACCATCACCAGAAGTGAAAAAGCAACCTTCATGCTGGTCATTTGTAGCAACACTCAACAAACCTTCAACTTTTAGGTAAAGTAAGAAAACAGAGTAGCGTATTTACTTAAGAATGAAAGTGATAGCCAATATTTAAAGTACTTATTTGATTGGAATACTTCAAATATAATATATATGCTGACCGTTTTCCTTGTAGCCCATGCCCAGGATGACCTCGGGTGCTCGGTAGTAGCGAGTCACTACATAAGGCGTCATCATGAAACTTGTTCCTGCAGTCCTAGCGAGCCCAAAGTCAAGAATCTTCAAAGTGCAGTCTGATTTTACTACTATATTACTGGGCTTTAAATCCTTCAAAAAACAAAAATAAAAGATTGCTAAAACAAATATATATATATATATATATATATATATATATATATGCTCACAATTTTTTTTTTTTTTTTTTTTTTTTTACTACAATATCAGGGCATACATTCATCATAAATAGGCAAGCCTGAGAGATGTCATTCTAGTAATACACGGACATACACAGTGATTGGAAAAGTTAGTAGGCAGGCGTGGTGGCACATGTCTATAATCCCAGCACTCAGGAAGAACTGTATGAGTTCGAGGTCAGTCTGGACTACCTAGTAAAGTCAATGGCAGCCTGAACTACACAGTGAGACCCTGTCTCCAAGAGAGGGGAGAGAGAGAGAGAGAAAGAAAGGGGGGGGAGGAGTAGGTTAATGTTTTATTTCCTAGAAACTACTATTAGGCATCTTAAGCTAAAATAAAAACCACTATGATAAAACAGGCTCATAAGTTAACATTTATTTTCACCTGTATCCCAAATGATCAGTATTTTAAAAATTGTTTTTTGCAAGTAGGCGCAGAGGCCGGGGGTTTGATCCCTGGGCCTGCCATGCCAGCCCGCCCCCGGGGCACACTATGATGGCAACTAAGACTGGGCCTGGTGGTGTGCCTATAATCCCAGCTCTTGGGAGGCTGTAAACAGACGGATCACTACAAGTCTGATCTAGTAGTGAAACCCTGAACACCCAGTAGACCCTTCCCTAAAATTAAAAAAAAAAAAAAAATATTTTTAAATTCACAATAAAGGGCCAGATAACTCAGCAGACTAAAGCACCTGCTAAAGCAGAGTGCAGCGGCTGAGATTCTATGCCTGCTGTACCGTGCCCCTGGGGTGCACTGAGACAGTGATTGAGACTGGGTGGGGTGGTGCACACCTGTAATCCCCGCCCTTGGGAGGCTGAAAACAGGAGAATCACTACGCATCTGATCTACGTAGTGAGACCCAGAACGTCATGTAAACCCTGTGCCAAATACATAAAATAAATTCACAATGAACTTTATACGCACATTACAAATGAAAAATGGACCTTCCTGCCCATTATGGTATATATTAGTTTCCTTTCGACTGGCAGATATTCAGCTCCACAGGACCAAAATAGTCATTATCATTCTATCCCTGATTTTCCATATGAAATCTCAAAAAACCGCTCATAAACTTTCTGTCTGCCTGTAAAGGTACAGCACGGTCACCTCTGTTCTATCAGTACATACGATTGCTTGCTGTTGACACTCCTAAATAATGTCTTCATGAAGAATTGCCCTCCTGACCCCAAAGCGAAGGAAATCTGTGCTATGCCCTTTAAGAAGGCAGGAGCATATAAACATTCATGGCTTCATGACCATGCCTGCTAGCTCTGAAGAATGCTACTGTGAACAAAGGAGAGAAAAAGCATATACCCATAACACATACAATGCATTACCTGTACTGTTTAGTAGTAAATATGCTAACACAGAAGGGAAAAAAGTTGGCTTGAAAAACAAAGATTATTTTTGTAATGTCTACATCCCAAAAAGCACGTGCGATTTTTTCTTTCTTTCTTTTTTTTTGTGGAACCGGGGATTGAACTCAGGCCCTTGTACTTGCCAGGGAAGCGCTTATTCTACTGAGGCATCTCCCCAGCCCTATATGTGATATTCTTAACATATTCTTATAGGCAACCACAGACAAACTTGAAGACATATAATCTAACAGTTTTATGAAATTAAATATCAAACACCAACAAGAGTAAATGAAACAATAAAGTTTTCATTATTCCTATTCTGTGAGCATATTATGAAATAATATGCTAATATTTCCAACACAATATCTTAGCAAAGTAACACTGCATGTTCAAGAATACACATCCTAAGTCTTGATACTACTTCACTGTCTTGTTGTGATGACTGCAGATCACTGGCTCTTCACACTAGTGTATTCTAATGGAAATAAGATTCTGACTTTAAATATTTTATTTTGGAAAATTTTGAGTCAATACAATTTTTAATAGAAGTGATTTTCTTTTGCTAATAAAAAATAAATTATAAAAAAATGCCTCAGACACTTAAGTACATCATACATAATCAATATTTTTTCTTTCTTTTTTTTTTTTTTTGCTCCGAATGCCTTCAAGGCATGACTGGCTGGCTTGAGTAGTGGGGATCGAACCACAGCAACCTGAGCCTGACGGCTTTGTTGAAGCAGCCACTTAAAGAACTGAGCTAAGGGGCAGGCCCCCTCAATATTTTTTTCTACTCAGCTAAATATAATAATAGATCTGGGCTAAGTAATACTGCTAGTATATATAGGCAGAGAATATAATTTGGAATTTCCACGAATTCATTGTACAGGGCACAAACTAACATTCCATCTTCTCCCCCACATTGTTCTAGTCTTAGTTAAGCAAAACTGCACAAGTGGGGGAATGGGACACAGAAAAGAACCAGGCACAATACCCATGGTCTTGTCCCCTGCTCTGGGGATTATAGGAGCCCACACTGTGACATGTGGGCAGACTAAGTTGTGAAGCATCTTTGTAACCAGTCTTTTCACCCACTCTGACCTGCACTGGCATGTAGTGAGGGTAATAAAGCTTAGCCATGTACATGCACCAAGGATCAGGATCTCAGCAAGCTCAGTCAATTCTAACCATAAGACTGGTACCAGAAATAGGCCATACTACATGCTGAACAGTCTTAATCTGAAAATCTGAAGTCTAAAATGCTTCATAATTCAAAACCATTTGAGTGTTGACATAATACTAAAAGTGTTTTGGATTCTGGACCATTTTAGATTTTCAAATTAGGGGTGTACAACCTGTAAAGTCCATGCAAATATTTTCAAATCAGAAAATATTTGAGACCAGGAAATCTGAATCACATCTGGTCCCAAGCATTTCAGGTATCAAGCTTAGCAGTTGCACAGAAGGAAAACTAATATTAAAGGTGGAAAAGTGATCTAAAGTATCAGCAACAATACATTTCATAAAGCTGTCGCCTGCAAAGAACATGCATAATGAACCTGAGGTTCTACAACAGTGGTTAGTGAGTTAAGGCCTGCTTGTCTCTGTAAAAAGCCTAATTCAGCTAGAGCCTCAAAGTGACCATTCACCCCTAATCTTGACTTGTACTGTACCCCTAGAGGAAAGACCAGGTGATTTTACTAAGAAAGTAATTCCAGAATGGCAGAGGGTGAAGTAAATCTAGAATAAGTAGAACAAAGAGATCACAAACAACTGTGCCCTCAAGACCTGCTGCAAGAGTAGAGGCTTTAGTTTAGCATCTTAAACTTTTTCAGAGCTGATCCAGAAAGAGAGACCAAGCAGACTCCCTGACAAAACTCCTTACCTTCTTGTCTCCATCCTACATTTTCCCATATGCCATCTAACCTAAGACAAAGGTCATCACTGGTAACAGATCCTAGTATGTCTCTTATTAACTCAACTTCATTACATTAAGAAATTTTCTGTAGTTGTACTTTATTTTCATTAATGTATTCCAAAACATAGAGAAGAGAATACCTGCTAACTCAAGGCCAGCATTACTTTAACATCATACACAAAAAAACTATAGACAAATATCACTACCCAAAACACTGGTGAGTTTCAAGTTCAATCACATGTTAAGAAGATTATATACTATGACCACACATGATTTATCCCAAAAATACAAGGGTAAATATATGAAAATAACCCAGAAATGTTGGCATATCCCTATAATCCCAGTATTTGAGAGACTGAGACAGGAGGATCACTATGAGTTTAAGCCCATTCTGGGCTACATTAGTGAGTTCAAGGTCCAGACTGAACTACGTAGTAAAACCCTGTCTCAAAACACAAAACAAAAGCAACCTACTATCCAAGCCCTCTTCTGTCACTCTGATAAAAGCTTTCTCTCTCAATAAATTCTTCCTATACTTAAAACAAAACAAAACTAAACAATCCCCCTAAAATCAAACAGTGCAATATATCAGTTTAATAATGAACACCGGGAAAACATATGCAAGATCATTTAAACTGCTGCAGAATGCATTTGAGAAAGCCCAGCCAGTGTAGTTGCACACAACTGTAATGCCAGAAATTCAGAGGGCTGAGGCAGGAGGATTAAATTCAAGTGCAGTCTGGGCAGCTTTGCTACTCAACAAAATACTGTCTCACAATTAAAAAAAAAAAATGAATGATGGGAATGTAGCTCAGTGCAAAGTCTCAGGGTTCAATTAACAGTATTGGAAAAGTAGAAAAATAAACCAATATTCTCATGATAAAAATATTTCAACTAGTAACAAAAAACATAGTGAAGAATGACCTTATGGAAAAGAAAGTCTAACCTTTGTCTTCATATACAGGTGCTAAGCCCCTAAGTATCCTGCTTAGTACACTGTCTCTGACCATGGAACAGGCTGATAGTGTGATTTATGGTCAGGCTTTGGGATGCATCAATTCAACTTCAGCAGAAATCGGAGCCTTAAAATATTAGCATGAGTCTTAAGAGAGACTAGAAACTAAAGATCAACCAGGAAAGTGATATGAATGAGACCAAATTAAAAACTGGACTCCAAAGGTCTGGTGAGCTTTCCTGGTGAGCACTAGTTTGCATCTTGTCTTGCCTTGTGGCTGGAAGTACTTTGCAGATTGTCATGGCCTGCAGCTGAAAGTGCTTTGCATGTTGTCGTGCTTTGTGGCTAGGAATACTCTGCGTGTTGTTGTGGTCTGTACCAAGTACTCGGTATGTTACCATGCTCTGATGCTGGCAAGACTCAGTTTGTGCCCTGTGGCAGAGAATACTCCTTACATTGTCCTGGTCCACAGCTGAGTACTCTGTATGTTGCCATGCTCTAAGGCTCACAGTATTCTTCATGGTCTCATGGTCCGTGCAGGACTCTTGCATCTGGCCATGCTCTGTGACTACTACTGAAAGCCCTATGTTTGGTCTTCTCCTAGATTTTGCCCTGTGAGTTCTTTTCTTTTGTTAGTTCTACTTTGTATCCTTTCATTGTCAAATGATCAACTATGGTGCTTCTG